CGAAGTGATGAAACCTGACCACGCTGTAAACTTAGAAATACTGTCTCTCCCTACAATGACGTCATATCAGTCGTATCTCAACTTTCTGTGTACCGTGATTTTCCAATGTTGACAACACTTACTGACCTACTGTAATCCCGATAGAGCCCCTTCATATTTCGCATTTTGATTCCTGGGTCAGTGACATGTTAGTGGCTATTCTCGGTTCCTGTGTTCACTCAGGGTTGTTTCGGCAGTTCTTACCCCCGCGGCCCCGCTTGGGTTCAAGCATACACCACGCAACAGCTGCTTGCTTTTCAAAAACTTTAGCTCTGCTTTTAGCTTTGCATGTGCTTTTTGCCTAGGTCCTGAGCTTTCAGGACTACTTCTCAGCAGCTTTAAGATAACACGCTGTAGCCTCCAGCTTTGCATGGACCTCGAGCCTGCGCCGCAGAGCTCCCAGCTACAAGCTGTTTTGCGTGAACTCGACAGGGACGTCCGGCAGTTTCATCTTCGCCTGCTTGAAGCCTGCCTTTCCGACGACGTCAGGAGTCTCTGTGATAGGGTTTACGACCTGGAAGCTGAAAGTGCGGCTCAACGAGCGGAAATTTCCCGCTTATACGGCAGGGTCCAACGCCTGGAGAACCAGCTTCACCAAGGTCGCGGCTGGATTCTCCACTTGTCTGACAGGACTACAGCTTTGGAGGAGGCCACTCAGAAACTGGCTATTAAGGTCAGGTCACTCGTGACCCTGCTTCGAGAAACGCTGTCAGAGACGGTGGCGCGCCTCAGAATCTGGTTTTAGCCATGGCCTCTTCTGCTCAGTCTGGTGGTGATGCTCCAGCTTTGCCTTCTAGCAGGGTGGCTACGGATATTCTCCTGGCTGATTCTTCACCTTTCTGCTCTGCCGAAGAATTTTTGGAGCTTAGGGAGTCTTTTCGCAACCACTTTGCTGATTTTGCGGATCCAACTGACCCTACTCAACCGCCTCCTGCTCCAGCACCCACTTTCGAGGTTGCTGATTCAGATGCAGAGGAAGCTTTTGAACCCAGGAGTAAGCTTCGTCGCCGCTGGCTTCACCAAGCACACTGTGCCCCTGTGACTCCTCCCTTACCTATGGAAAACTCCCCAGGTGCCTCCAGCGGAGATCAATCTTGGCAGTTTATAGAGCAGAACCAGCCGGACGCCGAGACGCTTTCCTTTGAGGGGTTCACTTCAGGCACTTCGACTTTTCAGATTTTGCCGCTGCGATCCACCCCTCCTCGACCCAGCTTGTCAGCTACGTCGAGGGCACCCACTTGGCGGGCTCCAAGGGTAAGGTACAATTCCCCTTTTCAGGTGGGGCACACCGGGCGTCAGCCTACAGTGGCTCGGCTCCGCCCACGCTCCCCCTTTTCAGCTCCGCTTCAGGCCCCCAGCATGGTTCCTGTTCAGCAGTCTATACCACAAAACTTCCCGGCGGCGAAGGCACTGCCGCACTTTCAGGACGCGTCTGCTTACGCAGCATATCCCGCGCTTCAGCAGACTCCTGTTCAGGCATCAATCTCCTTGGCGACTCCGCGACCGGTCCAGTCCTCACCGGCAGCTTTGCGAGTGCCCTTGGAACTGCACCCCCCGGCTTTGCGAGCCCCGCCAGCCGGCATGATGACGAGCAAGGAAAATCATCAGGCATGCGATGAGCGGAACAAGGCTCTGTTCGACCAGCTTTGCAAATCGCATGGGGCCTACAGCTCGGTGCTCCAGCAGCTTGAAAGTAGCCGCGAGGGTGCAGTGATCCGGTCCCGCCTGCTGAACAAGGTTAGCGACACCACAGCCGCCCGCTACCTTCGCTCAGTTCAGCTTTTCTTTTGTGCCTTTGAGGAGCTGGGCGGCAGCATGGAGGCCATAGATCAGGGCCTGTTCCTCGACGCTTTCTTCGCTTTGTCTCGAGGTTCTGATTCAGGCCCCCTTTCGAACAGCATCAACGTCCTCAAGGCGCTGCGGTGGTATAAGAAACTTCTGGCAATCGCTTGTATGCCCGACTTGTATGGCACCGCTTTCAGCTTGCTCTCCAACCCGGCCGGGCAGGAGAAACGCGAGAGTATACCTCTCCCTTTGTCGTTCGTCGCTTTTCTTGAACGCATGCTCCTGTCTGGCAAGGCAAGCTTTATGGACATGATCTGGGCAGGATCGTTCCTTGTGGCCATTGGTGCTAGCCTCCGCTTTGCAGACGCACAACACATTCGCTGGAGCACGCTTTGCGTTAGCAGCTTCACTTTGCGAGGAATCTGCTACAGGACAAAGACCACTAAAGGGGGATGCCCATGGGGCCTCCTCAGCTTTGGAGTCTTCTCATCCTCCGAGGAATGGGGCATGACATGGCTTCCCCACTGGCTTGGAGCACTGGACACAGTATGGCGCGAGGTTCGCTCCCGCTTTGGGCCACAGCCGGAACCCGACTGTCTGTTTTTCCTTTGGAGCGATACCGGCTTTGCACCCGCATCCTACTCCCAAGCCCTGCAGAAGCTTCGCTATACATGCTTACACTCTCTGGTATAGCACCAGCTCAGGCAGCACAATATACGCTTCACAGCCTCAAGACCACCTTTCTGTCTTGGATGAGTCAGCTGTCTATACCGCTCTCTTCCCGCTTCCTGCAGGGGCACCACAAGGCACCAGGGTCAGCTCAACTTTACTCGCGGGACGACGTGTGGCCAGCTTTGCGTGCACAGTGGCTGCTTTGGCGTTCAATACATGCCGGCTTTCGTCCCGCAAGACCACAGCACAGAGGCGGCCAGTCCCCGCTTGTTGAGCCACTTGTGGACACTGCAGGTTTCCAGTGGGCGGAGCACTGCCCGGACCTCCACTGCTTTTCAGTTGGCAACGATTGTCAGTCCTTCTTAGCCCTGGAGCAGCAGGATGGCGACCTCCGTGACGCCCGGGAACGCGTCTCTTCACTTTCCGGAGCCAAGCTTCCACCATGTGTTCGCACCCGTGCCCAGGTCGACCACTTCGAGGACTCCGACGCGGACGAATCAGGCCCGGCTCGTGCCGCTTCCAGCGCTCCCCGCGATCCGGAGGTCGATCCCACATGGCAAGATGAGTCCGGTGAGGCACCCAGCCTTTCACCCAACCCGCAGCCGCTTGCTGCCCCGCCCGCTGAGGGTCTCCGTTCTAGCTGTACAGAGGTACGATACCTCCTGGGAGCTTCTGGGGTGGCACACTCTTGCATCTCCCACCCCGGCTCCCGTATGACGTGCTTGGCATGCAGGGATCCTTCCTGTTCAGTACGATGCCACCCCGCTTGTGGTTGCATCTCGGAATTTTCACCTTTTGTCCATTTTCCGCCCGACTCCCGCTTATGTAAGCGGCGGGCTTGTATCATGGCCTCCCCTGATGCAGCCTGAGTGCGGCCAGCTGTTAAAAATTTTGACGTGGGTGCACTGCATTTGACCTGCATCAGCTTAGAGATGCTGCTAACTTGCTGAACTGAGTGCTACAGCTTCATGTTCATCGCTTTCTTAGCTCGAGATGCGCTTTAAGCCCACTTTCTTGCCTCCTTGGGTCATGGCGAAACTTTCCCCTGAGTACGCCTTCACACTCCTCAAGACCATGACTGACGAGGAGAAAACCCGCTTCCTCAAGCAGCTGGAGAACGATCCACTTCTCCCCGCATCCACTACGAGCTCATCTTCGGTGGAGGCACCCGCTGTGCAACCAGTCGCAGCACTTATGGCAGACCCCATAGGGGAAAACATCGCCGCCGAGGATTACAGCTTACCTTCAGTGGAGCCTGCTGCTTCACCGTCACCTCCGGCCAAAGCGGCACCCGCTTCGGTTACAGCGGAAAAGCCCGCGGCCACCAACGACGACGGTGCACCCGCTTCCAGGACCCCTGCAGATGGCGACGGGGGCAACACCGCCACTGGTGGCGGAGGCGATGGTGTTGCCAACGCAAAGCGTTGGCAACGGGAACCCGAGGTGAAAGAACCGCCGCCACGGCCGCCCTCTTCACCAAAGGCGAGTCCTTCAACACCGGCTCCGACTGGCCCTCCGCTTAAGGCCAAGAGTGTGGCATCACCTCCGAAGCCCGCTTCGGCCTCAGGTGCACCGGCCGCACCGACTCCCAGCGCCCCTCCTGCGGCCAAGGAGAAAGCTCCTCCACCTCCGCTTGCAGAAACTGGGGCCACCGACGGCAATGCGGGCGCTGCAAGAGAGGCAACGCCCGCTTCGCCCGCTTCGGCTACGGCTACGGCTACTCCGTCGGGCAACAGGGCCCCACTTCTGGCGAGCTTGGGGCACACCATCTACGACGGTGAGGGGAACCCCACACTCCAACTCGTCCAGCTTTGGGCATGCCGTAAGCAGTGCTCCCAATGCTCGCTTGGTCACTGCCAGGCTACCTTCAGCGTCCGCTCCAACAGCTACCACACCACCCACTTATGCAGAGACTGTAAGCGGGCTCGTGGTTGAGAGCGTCAAGAAGCCGCTTCTCAATGGAGCCAGGGCTATGAAGAGTGGGGCCAGAACCAGTCCGGCTGGGACGATCAACCCGCTTGGGGATCCTGGAATTGGAGTGGCCGCAACTGGCAGCACCAATGATGCTTTTGCCCCCGCTCCATGCTTATGCCGGCTTTGGCATTGAATCGCCCACTTTTGGGCTTGCCCATATAGATCAAGGGCAGCCCCGCTTGGGCTTGTGGGTACAAAGCACCCGGCTTCTCCGAAGCCAGACATACTCGAGCTCCGCTTCCCGCTTGAAAAATCCAGCAGAGCCACACTGCACACGCTTTGGACCAGTTCACGCTTTGAACTTGTGGCTTGTTTCTAACTCTTGTTTCCCGCTTGGATCAAGAAAGACTTCCGGGCCTCCCCCGGCTCTGGGTATCCCGCGCTCCCACGTTACAGGGCACAGATGCCCACTTGTCGTCATTAGCAACATGCTTCCCTGCTGCAGGACCACTTCGGGCAACGCTTCATCCTCAGTTTCAGTTCTTCGCCTCCTTTCGGTAGTATGTGCACTTGCTTCAGGTCAAGCGAAGATGTCTGACTTCACGCAACTGGTGGCCGACTGCAATGTGCCAGCAGCTGTCGCCTCCTTGCTTTCAGCATTCGACGTTGCTTTGTTTGCCCGGTCCTGCACCACTTCGGCAGAGCTTGAAGAGTTGGTGAACCACTTTCTGGCTGAAGCCTCAGTTACTGATGTAGCTGAGCGCTTTATCACCAAAGCTTCGCTTCGCTTGCTTTTTTGCAAATGCCGAACGTCAGAGGGCATGGCATCCTTGGAAGCCACTCCCACTCCCACCACACCGCTTGGGGACGGGCTTCCAGCTACTACCCCGGCTCCCCCGGCCACGCCTCCACTTTCCAGCTCTTGGCAAGAGGCTTGGCCTGCGAAGCTGAGTGGGGAGCGAACCGCGGCGCTTAGGAAGAGGTTCGAGGAGGACTACCCCACTGAACTTCTTGACGCCGAGAGCTTTCCAAGCGCCCGCTTATTGGCCCTCACCAATAAGATGCTTTCCGACAAGGAGGTGCGATGGATTCCTTGGAAGTACCGCTTAAGCGCTCGTGCGCAAGAAGACAGTCTCCTCGTTCGGCCCAGGAAACAGGCCCGCTTTGACCTAACAGAGCTTTTTCTGGACGAGGCACCTACACGTGACATACATGAAGGCCCCGCTTCCTTTGGCCTCGTCACTCAGCTTCTGTCACTGGCTGCTAATGCCATTGCGCTCTGTCAAGGTGCACATCTGGGCTCTCTGAAGCTTTATAATAAACGCTTCATGAGGATCTGCTTCACGAAGTACGAGGCCGCCGCCAGCTTACGAGGTCCCACTACCATGGAAGCCCAGGCCGCCGACCGCCGCTGTTGGGAAATCATCGCCGACTTAGTCAATGTGCACCACTGGAAGTTGGACGATGCGCTTCATGAAGTGGCCGAAGTGCGCTCTGACATGCACAGCCTGCTTGCACCAAGGCCCTTCATTCCCAAACCTAAGTTCGACCTGGATAACAGCTGGAAGGCCCGCTTTACAGGCAACGGTCGAGGCGGCAAAGGCGGTGGCCGCGGCGGCAAAGGCCGTGACGGCAAAGGCGAGAAGGGCGAGCGCTTTGAGAGAGGGGGTAAAGGTGGCAAGGGCAAGGACAACAAGCAAGCCACCCCCCCCGGCAAGTGGCTTTCCACCCTCTTCATGGATGGCAAACGTCAGACGCTTTGCATGAGGTACCAGAGCGGGCAGTGCAAAGACCCAGCCACATGCCGCTACTTGCACAGATGCGCAGTGCCTAAGAGCGACGGCACAGCTTGCGGAGGCAATCACCCAGCTTCGCAACATGTTGCCACCCCGCACTAGGAAACCCGCTTCAGCGAGCTGCGGGACATCGCTGAGGAGGTCACGACCGTCCCGCTTAGTGTGCCGGCACAACCGTCAGGCTCAGCAGGGGCCACTTCGGCACTGCCCAAGGCACGTGCCCCAGTCTCCGATGCAGCATCGGCACTCAGTGAAGGCTCACTCGACTTCGCTACTTGCTTGGAGCTTCTAGCGCAGTACTTTTCCATTCCCTTCGCTTCTTCCTCTCACTGCCCTGACAATGCCATTGCAGCCTCTGAAGCATATTTCAATTTGGGGGCTTTCGCTTTTGACAATGGCGCCAGGTCGGGCATATTTCAGTGTACTGAGCAATTTTCAGACGTCCTTCGATTCTTGAACGCTTTTATGCAGCTGCAGTTCCCCGAAGCATCATGGAGCTCCCTCTGCGTCAGCCACAACGTTCGCACCCGCTTACACACAGATTCTGGCAACGCTGCAGGGTCTCTGAATCACACAGTTTCACTTGGCAACTTCAGCGGCGGCGAGGTTTGGCTTTGCCCCGCTTCGAACCAGGCGGCTTCTCAGGTACCAGCCCCCTTGGATGCCTCATCCGAGGCGCACAGTGCATCTGAAGCGGGTACAGGCGAGGTGCGCGACACTTGGCACGCTCCGCTCTCCTTCAGCTGTGAAACACTTCACTGTACGCTTCCGATACAAGGAGACCGGTGGGTATTGACTGCCTACACTTGCAAGAGCCTAGACCGCTTTGATGCAACGTCCCTGGCACACCTGAGGTCTCTGGGCTTCCCGCTGCCGCCGGCAACCCCAGGACACCCGCAGTCAACACATCCCCCGCTCAAGGACACGACATGTGTGGAGCTCTTCCTGGACATATGCTGCGGGGCCGCTCACCCACTTACCACGGCGATGTCTTCATGCGGCATCACTTGTCTGCCCATAGATATACTGGGCGAGGAGCAACTCGACCTGCTCAACGACGACACCTACGACCACTTGCTTCGGCTGTGCTTTGCTGGTATTGTCCGCTTAGCTCACGGATCGCCGCCCTGCAAGGAGTACTCCCGCTTGAAGCTTCGTCCAGGTGGACCCCCAGCCATTCGATCGCCGGATCACCTTAATGGCCTGCCAGGGAACACAGCTTCACAGCAGGCTAGAGTACAAAACAGCCAGAAGCTTCTATATCGTTGCGTATGCCTTCTGAGAGCAGCTTTCTGTTCAGGAGCGCATGTATCCCTGGAACAACCCACTAACACTATGTCCTGGCTTGAGCCTTTTGTTCAGGACATGCTTTCTGAAATACAAGCTTCACTGGTCAACATCCCGGCATGTTCAGTGGGACAGGATATAGCCAAATCTTGGCTTTTCGCTTGCAGTTACAGTGAACTCCGCTGTTTGGCAAGCACATGTTCACATGCTGGAGGCCATCAGTCCGTCGCAGGAGCCAGGGACGAACACGGGAACTTTTTGTCTCAGCGAACAGCGGAGTACCCGGCCCAGCTTGCCGAGAAGTTTTCAGAGAAAGCAAGGCACTTGTTTTCTTCGGCAAGACCCGCTTATTCGGTGGCACCCTGCTCCTTGAAGTTCGCACTGGCCTCAGTTCCCAAAAAGCCGCGTTCCTCAACGCCCACAGCAGCACAGGATGGCGGGGGCATCTATTCTCTGCCCGACTGGTCCCTGGGCCCAAGGTATCAGTCCGACAGCTTACACGACCTGCGAAAGGAATGGCAATCCTGGTTGCTTCAAAACAGAATTCCCCTCAGGCTCCAGCAACACGTTGCCGAAGCCAGCAATAAACCTCTCTTTACAGAGGAAGAAACGGAGTTGCTTCGTTCTTCTTTCAAGCGCTTTTCTGATGCTCACTCCCCGTGCCAGGACTGGAACTTCTCAGTGCAAGAAGGCCAACCCTACTGCTTGTCGGCACTGGAGCGCTTGAGTACTATGCTGGGTGACAAGGACACTTCCCTCTTCCCAGCTTTGCAGAAGGGCGTACCTACGGGGTTTGATGGCGACATCCCCCGCAGCCATACACTCCGTCCTCGTGATCCCAACAACTCAGACGAACCCGCTGACCTGCTTGTCTGCGAAGGCAACTGGCAGGGGGCCGAGGCAGACCCGGCACTGCTTCAGGAGTTGATCGAGGAGGAGATTTCGGCCGGCTACATAGAGGAAGTTCCCAGCTTGGAGGCTGCTTACGAAAGGTGGGGCAAGGAACGTGTTGCAGTGGGCCGTGTGAACATTGTCAAGGCCCCCGGTCGCTCTGCCCGCTTGGTGATAGACAACAGCATCTGCAACACGAATCAGAACTGCCATGTGCCTGAACAGTTCTCCTTGCCCAGCCTCCAGGACATTCAGTCCGCTTACCCTCCGAGGGAGGACGAGGAGCCGATCTCGGGTTTCAGCTTAGATGTGAAGGGAGCGCACAAAACTTCACTTGTGCGCGAGACAGACAGAGGCCTGCTTGGACTGAGACAACAAGAACGCCTCTTTTTCTACCGCGTCTGTCCCTTCGGGGCCACTTTTTCGAGCCACTGGTTTGCCCGCTTAGGGGGCTTTTTTGTGCGCTGCCTTCACCTACTTATCTGGTTGTCACACGTCCTCATGCTGTACGTAGATGATTTGCTTCTCTGGCAAAATTCTCGTGCACTTCCGCTTAGTGCTTCTCTGGTTTTGGCATTCTGCGCCTGCTTCAATATACCGCTTAGTTGGCGGAAATTGCAGATGGGGCCCTCTATAACCTGGATAGGGTGGCAAATCGACTTCAAGGCTGGCTGTTACACTTTACCGGAGCTCAAACGCTTGAAGCTGCTTGGCCAGGTGGAGGAATGTCTTCGGCACCGACTTGTCAGCCGCAAACAGCTGGACAAACTGCTAGGTCTGCTTCAGTGGATTTTACATGGTCTCCCCGCTTTACGCCCCTGGCTATGCACTCTGTATGATGACATGCATAGACCACTTGGCACCAATGTCAGCATCAGCCCAGTTGTTTGGCCAGGCATCCACTCTTACTTGGACGACAAGCTTCGCTTCACAGGTTGCCCCCCGGGCACGGGCATTTCACCTGGCTCAACGCTGCTTTCTGCTCGGCATAAGCCCCTTCACAGTAAGGCAGACCTGGCTTTAGTCCCCGTAAGCACAAAGCGCATGTGGCTCCGAGTTACGGACCCCACTTCCTCCAAGCGGCGCTTATCTGAGTCCAGCAGAGAAACCCTTGCCTTCTTTGCCCACTTGAGCTCCAGGGACTGGCGGCCCAGGCCACTTCGTCCACCACCTACCAGTTCGGTGGAGTCGGCCGCAGACGCTTTCGGCAAGGGCAATGATTGCGGCGTGGGAGGATGGCTCCTCCTCCCCAGTGGACGCCTGCTTTGGTTCGCTCACCGCTACACTGTCAAAGACTTCCTGGACTTAGGTCTGCCCATGCAACCAGACGCCAACTTGGACATCTCCAGCTACGAGACATTGGCACAGTGCTTTGTGCTTTTGGCTTTTTGGAAAGCCCATGGTTCCGGTCGCTTGGCTTTGACATTACCAGCTTTGAGCGATAACAGTGGTGCAGAGTCAGTGTGTAATAAGCTTTACACCTCCAAAGTACCACTTAATCTTTTTGTTCGCAAGCTTTCGATGTGGAGCTCGATTACCGGTGTCACTCTGGACTGCAGCCATATAGCTGGGGAGAAGAACGACGACGCAGACCTGCTTTCGCGCTGGGACGGCCTCACCGAACTTCCAGACAAGTTCCTGCCGTCAAACCGCATCGAAATCTCGCTTTCTGAGTTCTGGCTCATACGCTTTCAAGTGACACTTTTTCCCGCTGACGTATTTTTAAAATGGCAGCTTCCGTCAGCTGCCAGCCTGGGCCCAACAAACCGTGGCTCCAATAAGCGCAAGTAACACTGCTTTCTGCTTCCTCACCTCACTTCTCCACTTGGCTTATTTAGCTTCTTGCGAGGTTTCGGCTTGCCAGTTTCTTGCTCGGGCTTTTCGACTGCTCCGCTGCTTCAACTCAGCTTTCTATCCGGAAGGTCAAAGACCCCGGATGCTTTCAAAGACAGAGCAGTCGAGTTTCCGGCAAGCCGAAAGAAAAAGGAGAGAAGTGCGAGTGAAGCCACTGTTGACTTTTGCTTTCCGCTTTGCTCCGCAGTAGCCTCGTAGCCTTTTGGTGTTGCGTGGTGTAGAACTGTCCTGAACGGTTCCTGTGTTCACTCAGGGTTGTTTCGGCAGTTCTTACCCCCGCGGCCCCGCTTGGGTTCAAGCATACACCACGCAACAGCTGCTTGCTTTTCAAAAACTTTCCCACCCGCCCACACCTTTTGGGCAGCTTTTCAGCGCAGGGAGCTTTTCAGTCATACAGCCCGCTAACGCACATCTTACGGCTTTCGCTTTTTGCTGTTCCTTCTATCCGCTTTGATTCTGCTTTAGGCTTTTCTGCTAAACGATACGGGCTTTTCGACTGCTCCGCTGCTTCAACTCAGCTTTCTATCCGGAAGGTCAAAGACCCCGGATGCTTTCAAAGACAGAGCAGTCGAGTTTCCGGCAAGCCGAAAGAAAAAGGAGAGAAGTGCGAGTGAAGCCACTGTTGACTTTTGCTTTCCGCTTTGCTCCGCAGTAGCCTCGTAGCCTTTTGGTGTTGCGTGGTGTAGAACTGTCCTGAACTCAATGTGTACATAGATCTCATAAACCCGATGTACTGGAACGGACAGACCATTATGTAAAGTCCGCCATATAGCCTTTCCGCTAAAGTTGGGGAATGCGCATATGGTCCCCGGAATTTTGTCTGTTACAAAGCACTGCATCATGCCTCAACAACCGAATACATTCCAATTACCTCGGACCCTCTATTCTTCTAGTCCTTGTTTAATTTCATTGCGGTTACATTCCCCCTGAAACACCGAAACTTTCGAACGTTTGGATCTAGGTGTTGATGAAGTAGCGGTGGCACAGATTTGCTTCGTAAGGTTTATAGTGTGCAACAAACAATCAAGGCACCCCAATTTACAAACCACAACCCTGGTATGTAAGCCCCCCGGTGTTTCGACACAGTTTACCAATATTGCAGGTTCACCATCAAGTGTTGGGTTTGTTTGGGTTTTACTGCTTAGGGTTTGGCGCTAGGGTTTGGGGGAGACTTAAACTTAAACTATTATACCGGCTCGCTTGCGCGATACGACACGGAAGACTTAAACCATCAAACCAATAAGCCAATCCATTTGGTCTATAGGGCACGGCGGGAGTCTTCAAACCCTGAACGTATTTTGCCGCCTGGTTATAACCTCTGTCCCCGGTTATATCCAGGACACCTGCGTAGTAGGCAGCTCTAGACCCATCACTAAACCATTAAACCATTAACAAACCATTAAATTAGTACACCGTTAAACCAATCCTTTCCCCCAAAGGACCCAAACCAATAAACCATTAAACCATTAAACCAATCCTTTTGCCCCATGCCACTAAACCATCAAACCATTAAACATATCCCTTTACCCCATACCACTTAACCACTAAACCACTAAACCATTAAACCATTAAACCAATCCTTTCCCCCAATGCACCTAAACCACTAAACCATTAAACCATTAAGCCGTTAAACCATTAAACCATTCCTTTTGCTCCATACCACTAAACCACTAAACCATTAAACCATTAAACCATTAAACCAATCCGTTTGCTCCATACCACTAAACCACTAAACCATTAAACCATTAAACCATTAAACCAATCCGTTTGCTCCATACCACTAGACCACTAAACCACTAAACCATTAAACCATTAAACCAATGCTTTCGGCCCATACAGGGATGTGTCTCTCTCTATAGGGGAAAATGATTGGTTTAATGGTTTAATGGTTTAATGGTTTAGTGGTTTGGGTCCATTGGGGGAAATGATTGGTTTAATGGTTTAATGGTGTATTGGTTTGGGTCCATTGGGGCAAAGGATTGGTTTAATGGTTTAATGGTTTATTGGTTTAGTGGCATGGAGCAAAAGGAATGGTTTAATGGTTTAATGATTTAGTGGTTTGGGTGTGCAAAAACCCAGGGGGCCCCATATAGGGGGGTACCCATATATATATATATATATATATATATATATTTATATTATATTATATATAATTTTTATATTATATTATATTATATTATATTATATTCTGTTATATTCTATTATATTCTATTATATTCTATTATATTATATTATATTCTATTATATTCTAATATATTCTGTTATATTCTTTTCTATTCTATTATATTCTATTATATTCTATTATATTCTATTATATTCTATTATATTCTATTCTATCATATTATATTATATTATATTATATTATATTTTGTTATATTATATTATATTATGATAGATTATAAAATATTATATTATACTGAACTATATTATATTATATTTTTTCATATTTTGATTTTATGATATATATATATATATATTCATATATATTTTATATATAATTTTTTATAATATATTATGATATATTATATTATATCATATTATATTATATTATTATATAGTATATTATATTATATTATATTATATTATATTATTATATATTATATTATATTATATTATATGATATTATACTATATTATACTATATTATATTATTTTATATTATATTATATTATATTATTTTTTATTTAATTATATTATGATTGATTATATTATATTAGATTATACTGAACTATATTATATTATATTTTTTCATTATATGATTTTATGATATACATATATATATATATATATATATTTATATTATATTATACATAATTTTTTATATTATATTTGCGAACGGACTGCGATGCCTTGTCAAGTTCTAAGGTGTCACTATAAGAGCTGTGAGCAAGACCGTGTAAAGTGCAAGAGAAGGGGGCACGCTACGCGTCCCTCGACTCTAAGGGGGCATGCTACGCATCCCTCATCTTTACCTTTCTATGTGACCGCCAATGCAACGTTTGGCTCAAGTCAATGCCCATAGCTAAGTGCTATATGTGTCTTCTATCCTGAGCAATCAGAGCTATCCCGTTGCACAGACGAACCGTCGCCGGCAGTGAGTGCAAAAGGAACGGCCGCCGGTTCTGCCTGCATAGGATCGCACGTGTGGGAGTAAGAGGGAGAGACAGGGTCCAGTCTGTGGAGAGTGCTAGCCAGCCACACCTACATTCATTACAGCTCTGGTGGGGAGAGCAGCAACCAAGTCGAGATCAATACCCCACGCAGGTTATCAGCCGTACGCGGCTCTGCCTTTCTACAGCAACGACTACTTGATCTACTACGACCACAATGAACTCAGGATCAAGTCAAGATACGACAATGACTTTCGGTGCCGATGTGGCAGCGCCAGCCGTTGGTTAGTCAACAGCTGATGACACAGTGGTGCAATCCGTTGATAGCTCCACGGAAGATGACAAAGGTCAATCTTCTGCGCTTGCCATTGCAAAGGCAGTTCCCAAGGTGAAAGCAAAGAGTCTACCAAGAGCATCTACGCCTTCGCGTCCGACATCCACAGGTTCGAGGACGGGCAAGGCTCCCGAACGACGAGCCGAAGCGTCTGGGTTTCAGGCACCTCGGACTACGTCCAGGGCCAAGGACAAAGGAGTGAAGACCTTGGAAAAGAAGTCAAGACCATCATCTTCGAGAAGCTCTTCAGCACGATCGAGGACTTCGGCTACTCGTGGACGTGACAAATCCATGACTTGGAATCGGATGGTTACCAACCAACCACGTGATGCTGACGATCTGGATATGACTCTGGACACTATCCCAGCACGTGGCGATGCGTCATCGGTGACCACGCCAGCCATAGCCGATGGTCCGAATGCGTATCAGGAACTGACGATTTCGCAACAGCTCGAAGCATCTAACCTTGCGCAGCAGATGTACTATCGCAGTCAGATGCAAGAATACGAAGGAGTTGTTCA